TCCTGGCGTGATTGCAGTGCCCTGGGCGACGCTGCAGTGCCGTTTTCTCCGTGCAGCAGCTTTTCCGACGACCGCACCACCGCCGCGAGCGACTGCAGAGCACGGCGAAGGGCTGGCCATAGCTTTGGCCAAGCAGCTATTGCCGCGAGGACGAGGAGCGCAGTGGCGACCCTTCGCCGCCGGCCTGGAATGGAACTCGCGCCTCCCGCTCCAGTGGCCAGGGACGGGGCTTGCATTTTTGCCGTCGCTGTCGCCTGCTAAGTCGTACAGCCGGGGCACACGGACGTCGTTCTTCCCGCGTAAAATTCTTCTCAGAGAGCTTGAGCATACACTCTGTTGCGGGCATTAAGAAAACAGGATGCCGCGGCACGCCGCCGTTTCTAAGCCTTTCCACCCACCCCACCCACCCCACGCCGTGGTTTCTTAGCTTCGGCCGGCCGGCACCCCAGGTCAGAGAGAGAGAGATTTAGCAATACCATTTTGTTTTGTCAGGTCAGCCGGGATTTTTAGGTAAAATGACAATAAGCTGGACCGATGCGCCAGTCAGCAGTGGTTGGGATGACAGGAAGACGCACACACCTCCATCCACACCGCCCAGAACACCGCAGACTTGGGCAAAATGACAAGTGCGCGCGCCGCAGGCGAAGGGAGAAAAATGACGATCGGCCGTCGATCCCGAAGGGTCGTCGGTTGAGCTAGGGAGCCTGGCGATGGACGCCACCGCGACCCCTCGTGGCATCTCTCTCGCCGTCGGCGAGCCGGGGGCTCGCAGACGGCCGACTTTCTATATGACCAGTAGGACAGCCGTGAGTGTGAATCGGATAGGCTGCGGCGATGGTGGGGTACTTGGACGCACCTCCCTCGTCTAGGGCGAAGTCGGAGTTGTGGGCAACGAGGGTGCGCCAGTTCTTGAGGAGCGACATGGAGAAGTCGCTGTCGGCTCGCGTGAAGGCGGTGTCGATGTTGCACCCGCCCATCTCGGTCGGCAGCTGCGCCTGGAGCCACGCGAGGTCGCGGAGCGCCTGGGGCGAGGCGTCGGCGCGAGCAATGCTCTCAAAGGACTTGCGGATGCGGTTGTGCGCAAACTCGAGAGCGTCGCACGCGACATTGGGCGGCGTGATGCCGGCAATGTACTTGGTCTTTGCACAGGCAATCCGTTGGACGAGGTTGAGGCGGAGCTGCGAGGTGTTGGTGAGAGCAGGCGGACATCGCTTCCAGGGAGGGGGGTTGTCGCTGGGCGGCGTCGTTGGACGGGTGGGAACAAAACCCCGTGCGAGAAATCCCGAGTTCACGCCTTGCCTGAGCGAGCACGCGTAAATTGCCGGCCTCAAGCCGATACCTGTAGCGTGCGGCGCTCGCGAGTTTCCGCGCGCATGCACGTGGTGGTTGCGCCGATGAAGAATTACGGGGCGGGGCTGGCCGCAACCACAAACGGCACCAATCACGTCCGCTACCTGATCGGCCCGCAGGCACTGCGCCTGTCGACCGATGCGCCTGTCGGCTACGTCCTCGAAGGGCGCAGCTACCGCGTGGAGAGCGACCAGCATTTTTTCCTTGGTCCGGACGAACCCTTCGTCGGCAATATCCGCGACGAGGTGCGCCGGATGGAAGCGATGACCGCGCGTTACTGGCGGCACTGGGTACGCGGCCTGCACAT